AAAAAAAAAAAAAAATTTTTTTTTGAGTTGCAAAAAAGGAAATTCTGATATGCTATTTTAATTTTCAGTAGCGCATAAATGGGGGGAAATGATTGGTCTTGGATGAATGATTCCTGGTTCTCTGTGGTTCATCATTATTTTTTAAGATCTAGTTGAATTACACCTCTCTTTAAGCCTTTTCTAATTCCCCAGGTACTCTCTTCCCCTCTCTGTCCTTCCATAGCATTTTGTGCATCTCTCTTGTAGCACTTACATCATTGTACAATGCCCATGTTAACTTTCCTTTCTTGCTTGTCTGAACAGGAGCCACCTTTTACTCAGCTTTGTCTCCTAGCACCTAACAAACACAGTGCTACCTAATACAGAACACAAAAAAAAAATTTTTTCACTATTGTATGTTGGTTTTCATTACCAGTCTGTCTTCCCTTCTGCCCTGTGAGAGCAAGGAGTTGAAATATTAATTAATTAATGGCTGTGCAAATTAGTAAAGATATAATTCACAATTCCATTGGACTGTTAGTCTATACGTATATTTTCTAATTATTTTGAATCCAGGCTAATGAAGTTGCTTTCCTTATCTTCAATTCTGTTTACCAACATCATCCCAAATTGTACTCAACAAAAGGAACACAGAACTTACTGCTGAGTACTGTTTTGCTTACCTCCTTCCTTTGGTTATCTCAAAAGTAGTTTTTTACGTCCTTTAAACTTTAATATCTGATGTCCAGCAATTGTCCTCAACTGCTGCTATTGTTTGTCTTTTTATATTTTTGGTACTCTATTAAGAAAAATCAGTATTTTGAGTTTTTTACTGAGTTACCTATAAATAGGAATGGATGGTAAATTGAATTAAGACATCAGTATGATTATAATAAGCCAGTTGCAACAGCACAGTCCTTGGTTAATCAGCCTCAAATCATGACCCCCTACTTTAGCATGCAGATAGGTATTGAAGGTATTGTCTCATCATAGTGGGTGAAGGTGGGGAGTGTCAGGCACTAAATCACCATTGCCTCAACTGTTTGATCTACAATTTAGGAATAAATGGTTTAATTTTATGAGGCACAACATTTTTATGATCAGTCCATACTCTTCCTTCAAAAGTATCTGGTATCCACAATGAAACCCACTATTCTAGATCATTAGTATGCACCAATGAAAAAAGGTATCTGGTATCAATTATAAGGTTTTTTGGTTTTGGTACTGCGATTGAACTTAGGAGCACTCCACCACTGAGCCACATCCCCAGCCCTATTTTTGTATTTTATTTAAAGACAGGGTCTCACTGAGTTGCTTAGGGCCTCACTTTTTGCTGAGGCTGGCTTTGAACTCAGGATCCTCCTGTCTCAGCCTCTCCAGCCACCGGGATTACAGGCGTGTGCCACCACACCAGGCTGAATTATAAGTTTTAAAACTAAAACCCAATATCTAGTCCTACACATATTCTATATAATATTTACTTCTCCTTTTCAAGGTTGGGATAATCATAAACAATATTTTAAAGTAACACACACATGCACACTCACATTTTCTTTCCTTCCTTCCTGATAAGAAACAATTCAAAATAGAACATGTAAGAAATCTCTTGTACAACAACCTTGTTGTGGAGTTAACAGATTGCCTTCCCTAACTGTAATCATCTGATCTGATTCCATGCCTACACTGAACTTTCTCCAGCCAGAAAGGCAAGGACTTGGGTGATCCTTTTTTTCTTTGAGCTTTTTTTTTTTTTTCTAAACTAAGACTGTTTCTCTGTTTTCTTTAGTCCTCCATACTCTAGAGTATCCTGTAGCTTTTGGGATGGTAATAGGACTATATCCTGATTGCCTTGAGTGATGTCTATCTCTTCCTCTAAACCCCTCATCCATTTATTTAGAGATTAATGCATTGGATTATTTCTCCAAGTGGTTAATTTTAAAGTCTATTGTCTAAACCTTTTGAGTTATTTGGAGTGGAACACCTTTAATATTTATCTTTTCTCCTTTCTCTCTTGAACACACCAGCTGCCTTCACTCACTGAATGTTTTTGCATATCCAGTGAAAGAATATATTGGACTTGTATGATGACTTGCTTGTTAAAGAGCCATTCTTTCTAGTTAAAGTGATCAAACAAAGATCAATTCTGATCCTTAAATTTTTTTTTGGTTTATTTATTTAGGTATAGGTGGACACAATACCTTTATTTTATTTTTATGTGGTGCTAAGGATCAAACCTAGTGCCCCACACATGCCAGGGGAGTGTTCTACCTCTGAGCCACAAACTCAGCCCCCCTTAAATGTTTTTAAGTTCAGTTTAAGCTGTGCTAATTCCCAAGTCTCAGAGAGTCTCTCATTTGTAGCCCCCACACACTAGTAATCTTTTCTCAGTCTTTGACTAAATAGACTTAGGAGTCTTGATATAAGGTGTTTGCTAGTTTTGATGATCAAAGTTTTTTGTGTCCTGTCAATTTAGATGTAATCTTTGATTTTTATCTTTGAGAGGACAGCATGACTTTCACTGAGCATAGTCTTTCCTTTTGATAAACATTATCTCCTTCCCAAATACCTACTGAATCATGTTACTGCCCCTAAAAGGCATCTCTGCCTTTGCTCTTTTCTCTTTCTCACTTAGTTGAATCCTTCTTAATTCTCTCTGCCCATCCAGTTTTATCTATTCTATGGAGCCCATCTCTTTCAGGAAACCTTTCCTTGACTTTGGCCTTATTCAGTTTGGTGTTTACTCACATTCTCTATAGTCTGCCTTCCACATTAGGGATTTCAAGTCCATGTCTTTGTGTTTATGAAGTGTCTGAGAGTATGGATAGTGTATCTTTTGTTGTTGTTGTTTGTCCAAGGATTGAACCCAGGGGTTCTTTACCACTGAGTTGAATTTGTGGCTCTTTTTACTTTTTATTTTGATACAGAGTCTTGCTAAGTTTCTGAGGCTGGCCTTGAATTTGTGATTCTCCTGCCTCAGACCCCCAAGTCACTGGCATTACAGACATGCACCATAACGTCCACCTCTTACTTCCTCAGGACCACACATACCTACATAGTTTGCAAAAGCTTGCCATCTTTCATGAAAAGATTCTTAACCAGGTGCAGTGCTGTAATCTCAGAGACTCTAGAGACTGAGGCAGTGGGATCACAAGTTTACAAGTTTGAAGTCAGCATGGGCAACTTAGTAAGACCCTGTCTGAAAATTTTAAAAATGTCTAGGGATATATAGCCCAGTGGTAAAGCACCTCTGAGTTTAATCCTTAGTACCAAGAAGGGAAGGGAGGAGGAAGGAAGGAAAGAAAAGATTCTTTCTCCCTTTTGAAAATCCTTTTCCACTTGACAACTAAAGAAGAGACTGTGTATACACACACACACACACACACACACACACACACATATATATATATATATATATATTTTTTTTTTTTTTCCTTTTTCTGGTCTTTGACAGGCTGCACATTAAATGGCCAAGAGGTAAGATTCACTGTCCACTATGAAAATGGGTTCACTATATCAAGGGAAAATGGAGGCTCCAGCACCATATTATACCGCTACCCATTTGAACGTCTGAAAATGTCTGCTGATGATGGCATCAGAAATCTCTATTTGGATTTTGGTGGTCCTGAGGGAGAACTGGTAAGAGTGTTGATGAAAAATATGTATATACTAATAGGTCTTCTCCTTCTTTCTCAATGCTTCTTGTATATAAAATTATGGCCTGACATTCCATTTGGAGCAGGAAATTATTCTTCAGTTTTCAAGATAGCATTGGGTTTGGGTTTTTTGTTTGTTTCTTTGTTTTTGGTACTAGAGATTTAACCCAGAGTGCTTTACCCCCAGCTCTTTTATTTTTTATTTTATTGTATTTTTTTATTTTTTATTTTTTTGGTACCAGGGTTTGAACCCAGGGGCACTTAACCACTAAACCACATCCCCAGCCCTGTTCTTATTTTTTATTTTGAGACAGGATCTTGCTAAGTTGCTGAGGCTGGTCTTAACTTGAGATCTTCCTGACTCAGACTCCTAAGTTGCTGGGATTACAAAGCTGGGTTTGGCTCTTTGTAGTTTTCTTTTCCCGTCAGAAAATCATTCTCTTTTTAAAAAGTTTTGTTTAAATGTGAAAAAGAAAAGAAACATCCGTTTTAAGAAAGAGGTCTTTGTCATGATACGTAATTCTATCCATTACTGTAATTGTCAGTTTGTTGGTATAAAAGCTAAGTAATACCTTTATTATTTGTATGTTTGTGGTGCTGGGTCAAACCCAGAACTTCATGCATGCTAGGTAAACATGAAGGTAAGTGCTCTACCACTGAGCTACATTCCTAGCCTAAGAATTGAGTAATAAAGTGGCTCAGTTGCTACAGAAGCCTGCTAATCAGGAAAAAAAGAAACTTCTCAGCCAGATGTGGTAGCGTGGTGCACACCTGTAATATCAGCCAGTCGCTAGGGAGGCTGAGGCAGGAGGATCGCGAGTTCAAAGCCAGCCTCAGCAAAAGCAAGGTGCCAAACAACTCAGCGAGACCCTCTCTCTAAATAGAATACAAAATAGGGTTGGGGATGTGGCTCTGTGGCCAAGTGCCCCTGAGTTCAATCCCTTGTACCCTGTCCCCCCCTCCCCTTAAAAAAAGAAGAAAGAAACTTCTTCACACAACTATCATCTTTCTGGATCTCTCTGTGCTTTAAAGGACAGGAAATCATGATTTCTCTTAAAGGGACTACTAGAAAGATATGTCGGGTATACTTCAGAAATCATAAATTTTGATAAAGTAGTAAAGTAATGCCTTTTTTGTCAATATTGAGCTAGTAGTGTAAGTCTTCTTATACACGAAATTTTATGTCCCCTGACACAGTCACGGTAGGTGGTGAGTTTGGAAACATTGAATCTGGAAATTTTAGAACTAAAAGAGATCTTAAAGATAATGTGCTTCTACTTCCAAATGAAAAACCATGGCTGGAAATCTTAAATGATGAACCCAAGACTATAACTCAGTGGAAGAGCATATGCTTACCACACACATGGCTATGGGTTTAATTCCCAGCATTTTTTTTAGGTGGGGGGGGGGTGTTATTGGGGATTGAACCCAGAGGCGCTTTACTATTGAGCCATATCCCCAGCCCTTTTTTTTTGAGAGAGAGAGAGAGAGAATTTTTTAATATTTATTTTTTAGTTATTGGAGGATACAACATCTTTGGTTTTTTTTGTATGTGGTGCTGAGGATCGAACCTGGGCCGCACGCATGCCAGGCGAGCGCGCTACTGCTTGAGCCACATCCCCAGCCCTCCCCAGCCCTTTTTATTTTTTATTTTGAGACAAGGTCTCACTAAGTTGCTAAGACTAGTCTTCAACCTGTGATCCTCCTATCCCAGCCTCCAGAGTCACTGGGATTATAGCCATGCTCCACTGTGCCCAGTCCCATTACTTTAAAAAAAAAAAAAGTGGACATGTGGTTCAGGCCTATAATCCTAGCTACTCAATAAGCTGAAGAAGAAGAATTGCAAATTCAAGGCCAGCCTGGGAAATTTTAGCAATATCCTGCCTCAAAATAAAAAAGTTCCCAAGAGTTTCCATTAAAGTGGCACATTCTTTAAGTTTCTTTTATTTTGTGTGTGTGTGTGTGTGTGTTGTGTGTGCACACATGCTTGAACGTGCCAGATATCACTGAGCAATATCCTAGACCTTTTAAGTTCTTTTTAAAAACTAGAACATGACACGGAGGTTGTGCACACCTGTAATCCTAGCAACTCAGGAGGCTGAGGCAGAGGAGGATCACAAGTTTAAGGCTAGCCTTGACAATTTAGCAAGAACCTATTCTCAAAAATATTTTAAAAGGTCTAGGGATATAATTGGGTGGCAAAGCATCCCTGGGTTAATCTCCAGTGCCAGGGTCAGTGAATGGGTGGGGAGTAGAATGACAAGAATATCACATCTAAATTTGTTTATTCTTTTTCTATGAAAAAAGAATATATATATATTCTTTTTTAATAGAAATAATGATATATATGATATATGATAATTAATGTCCTTTCTCCATAGACGGTGGACCTGCACTCTTGTCCAAAGCCGATTGTTTTTGTGTTGCACACTTTCTTGTCGGCCAAAGTCACTCGCATGGGACTGCTTGTATGAGCAGCCAAAAGTCAGAAAAGAACCCTGACTGTCACAAGAAATATTTCCACCTAAAAAAAAAAAAGAAGAAGAAGAAAAAAAAAAGCACAAAAAGAAAGCTCTTTGCTCTCTCCTCCAGCACAGTGCCTTCCCAAGGACCTGCAAATCACTGCGGAACCATAACTGGGTTTAAAGAAGAGCCTACTTTGGTCAGAAATTCAAGGACTCTAATAAGCTCCAAAATGAAGCTATTGACATCTCATTTTATAATTTGGTTTATAAGTAATCAGGTTTATTTTTCCTGTTAAAAATGGGTGGCTCTTTTCTTTTTTGGACATAATCAAACAACCAAGAGCTGCAGGGGTGTGTGTGTGTGTGTGTGTGTGTTGTGTGTGCGTGTGTTTTTTCTTCCTGTAAAATTTGTTTTAGGCTTAACCTTGGTGTCTCACTTAGGATGGTTATCCCTTCCCAGGTGCTAGTGTACAGTTATTGCTTCCTAGTCATTCCAGATGGTGGATGCTTTATTGTAGTGTATTATCAAAGCCTACTCTTTCAACCTTAAGAAGTCTCTGAGTTGTATCACCAAAGGGTTCTTTCATCTGTGCTGGCTCTTGCTACATCCCATCTGCCCATCACTACTCACCTTATCACCAGCTTTGCCACTCATAAGTGCTACCTTTAGGACTCAGAACTTGCAAATTTGACTGGCCTTGCCTTGTACTCCTTTTCTGGTGGTGACCAAGTTGAAAAGCAAGTTTGGATACCACTTATTTGGAAGAAAAGTTTTTGCTTGTTTTATTTTTTTCTGATTTTATATTTGGTAGGAGCCAGGGGATGTTATAAGATTTATTTTAAAAGAAAAATCCTCATTTTAAGCTAAGCCATCTTTTATCACTTACCACATGTGCCTTTGGTTAGGGTTAGTGGAACTTTATGAGTCACTATTTAAATAATTGGATATCACTGCCACTCTGGATGTATTATTTTTCCTAGTTTAATGACGTAGTCTTTGAGGTGGACTTTCTTAATGGCATCTTTTCTGGTGAAAGATTTGTTTGAGGAAAATAAATCCAGAAGAACTAGCTTGTTTAAAGAGTAAGCTTTGTTGGTGAAGCCAGTTCTTTAGCACAGCATCATGTCAAGTTGCTTTGGATTGTGTGAGACCATACAGGATTCTGGCCCTCTTTTGTGGCAGCAGAGTGCTATAACACATCCTGTGTAGAGGGCAGGGTGATGAGACAATGGCACAGTTACTTTCATTTTATTGAGTGTTGTCAGGTGTCATCATTAGGACAGAGTAGCTGTAGGACCACTGATTTTTATGGGTCTGAGGAATCATATTCAGCTTACTTTCCCTAATTTTGAAGGGAGTATATATCTCTGAAAACATTTTTAAGTAGTATAATATCTATATAAAATGTCAAGATTAGAACAGTCCCTGAATCTGGAAGAAGAGGAAACTTTGACTTAGATATGCTCTGTGGTCTCTGAACAATGGTCCAGGAATAGTTCTCATTTTCTAGATTTATCCAGAGTGCCACATAGGAATGTGAGCACTATAGAGGGTGAAGGAGGGTGGTACTCCAAATGGGTGGGAAGAAAAAGGAAAGAAAACACAACTTTTCATGCAAAACTTGAGCTGTTTTGTTTGAATGCATACTGACCAATAAGTGGGCCACATGAGAGCAGACATTCTAGCAGATGCTGTAACCCCACTGTCCTCCCTCTGCCCATATAAATAGTTCCTTCTTACCCTATGCTGTGAGATTAACAGTATTTAGAGCTTATGGAGAGATACTTATCCTACCCCCAGCTTCAAGTAGGTGTTGAAGCTCCAAAAATGATTGATCTGATCCACTTAAAACTGGAAATGAAAATTTTGACAAGAATATCTTTCAGGAGTGCCCCCCAACACATACCCTGGTACCAGGGATTGCATCTAGGAACATTCTACCACTGAGCTACATCCCCAGCCCTTTTTATTTTGATTTAGGATCTTGCTAAGTTGCTCAGGCTGGACTCGAATTTGTGATCCTCTTGCCTCAGCCTCTGGAATAACAGGGGTTATAGGCATGTGCCACTGTAGTCAGCCCAAAAGCTTTTTGTTTTGAAAATTCAGAAACCTGTGATGGTTCCATCTGAGATATATATGTAATTGACAGGGGGAAAATGTTTTGAAGGTCCATCTCTGATTTCTGGAAGCAAAAGTTCAACAAATAATAAGCTCAGGTAAGAGCTTGGATATTCATGTTATGGTGAGAAGTTGAATGACACATTCACAGATGTCAATAGCAAAACCATCTGGTTGAAGTTTTTGTGTTGATGTGAAAGTCTAAGCCACAGAGATCCGCAGGAAATTTTTGAGCCACCCTGCTCATTACTAATATCAACAAGATCTGTAAAATAGGTGTGGTTAAACATTATAACAAAGCTTTTGGGCAGGAGAGAAAGAGAGGGCATTGTGCATTTCAGCTCGTTTTGCTCAAGTTTAAACTGCCACACAGGACCAGGCGCAGTAGCACACATCTGTAATCCCAGTGACTTGGGAGGCTAAGACAAGAGGATCTTGAGTTGAAGTCCAGCCTCAGCAACTTGATGAGATCCTTCTCAAAATTAAAATAATAATAATAATAATAATATCAATGACTGGGGATGTAGCTCGGTGATAAAACACCGCTGGGTTCAATCTCTAGTAATGGAAGGGGGGGAAATTTTATATATATATATATATATATATATATATATAAATATATATATAGACACACACAAAAACCTGTCATAGCATTGAGGCTCACAGAGTTTTTAATAATCATTTCAGTTTTATATAAAATGAAAATATATTTTGTCCACTAACAAGCCCCAAGAGCAAGAGCCCTTAGCTGCTTGTTTTACATTTTGACAGCTTTCTTGTCATAGTCAATAGAGGTTGTTTCCATTAAGTGTGTTGTGGGAATTTCAAATCATAAATGAAGTGCTTTTTATGATGAAACACCTTGATATATATGAATTTTGTATTTAGATGCCAAAATATGGCAAGTTATTTTCAAATATCTAAAAATGGGCATTTTTATATTCCACCTCTTTATAGAACCATTAAAAATTTCATCTTTTTCATTGTGAATTCAGAAAATTATTGAGGATGTTGAGGGCTCTCGTGTAGAATAGAAAGGAAACTGCAGAGTGATGTGGCCCCCAAGACTTGGGACTTAGGCATCTTCTCCACATTCCACACAGATGACTATACACAGCCAGTTTGTGTATAAAAAGTCTTCCTCCTCTTTCCCTGAAACTTCTTTCTTTCCATAAAAAGAAAGGGAACAAAATCAATAAAATAAAGTCTCCATTTTTCTCTTTAAAAACATTAAGTCCTTTCCTGAAGTGATTAAACAGACCTTACCTGGAAATTAGTATCTAATATTTTATATGAAGTGATGCAAAATGTGAATTTATAAAGTATTTTTTAGATAGTTGTGACTGTAAACTCACCTACCTAGTAGAGTTTCAAATTAAATATTGGGACATGGGTAGGCAATCAAAAACATTATTTAAATTTCATTCACCTGTATGTTTAGTAATTTTTAGACTAGGAAAAGTCTGATAGTGTGTGTGTTTATCACCTGCAATTCTCATAAACTGTGTTACTGAAAATTATTTATGGCAAGAGAGACTGAATTATTTCTTACTTTTTTGTAAGTTAAAAAAAAAAAAAACTATTCAACAGATGGCTAGCATTGTTACTGATTGCTTTCCTAACTTATCCTCCTAAGAGGAATGGTAACAAAGCTTTTCTTCATCTGATCAAATGTATTTAGCTGATAAACCAAAACTTATTCTTTAAATGAAAAATTTAGGCTGTGTGGAATCTGGACAAGATTATGTTTCTACCAGAAACAAGTTTCACTGTAAATGATTTTTGATGGACAAATGTGTGAGAAAAGTTTTTGATGGATTTGTTTTTAAATTTTGTGAGAAACTGAAGGTCTTCTTGTTTAATTTATATGCATATGGATATATTTTCAAAACCATGGAAGAATCTGTCCATGTTTTTTAATGCAAATTACCCACAAAGCTGCTATGCAAATTATACTAAAAGCCCTACCTACTTAAATAGTTAAACCTTTTTGAAACTTTCAGGGAAGACCGTAGACTCAAGCACTTTTTTGTATCTTATCTTGGACACATACTTTAAACTATGTTCTTTTTTTCACTGGTTGTAAGCTATTGATTGTACATAATATTTAAACTATCCAAATATCCAGCATACATTTCCATGTGGCTGCCATCTGCTATAGATGCCATGGATGAAATGGCTGGTTAGATAACCAAAGTTATTTTTTTTTTCCATACCTAATGAAGAAGTAAAATGCCAGATCTCTCTGTTCTCAAAGCAAATTGCTTGGCTCAGATCTTAATATCTGTGTAATAAAAAGAGACATTTAAATTTGGGATTCTGCATAAAAGTCAAGTTCAGTTTGACCAAAGTCACATTCATTATTTTTATGTATCTCTATCAGGTATAATATTACTGGTGTCAGGTGGTATTATATTGTATATTGAAATCCCAGTTAAATTTTGGTTGTTATTGTGTCTTTTCTCCCTGCCTCTGCTGCACTAAAAAGGAGAGAAATCTGTCATCTACCACCATTCTCTTTGTGCCCTTTATTTTAATTGTTTCAATCTAGAATAATTTTGTCTTTTCACATATTGTCTTTAAAAGCTGATAGCAATAGTCTGCCCTCCCTCCTGTTCCTTTATCATTTCTTGTGTTGGGTACATACACATTTATAAATTTGTGATGACAGTTTTAAAATCATTATGCTTTATATCAGGATTCTGTGTTTTAGGTTAGTATAGTTATTCCTATGTTGTTGTTTTTTTGTTGTTGTTGTTTTTTTAATTTTTTAGGTTTCGGCGGACACAATATCTTTATTTGTATGTGGTGCCGAGGATCGAACCCGGGCTGCACGCATGCCAGGCGAGCGTGCTACCGCTTGAGCCACATCCCCAGCCCTATTCCTATGTTTTAATTATGTTGAGTGGAATTTATTTTACTGCTTTAGGTGACTAACCCT